CGTTCAATCTTCTCTTTTGATACATTCGTTGGACACACGTCCATCTGCTGCAGGTCTGATACCAATTTATCGAAATTCGATGTCAGTTGAATCGACAAAGCCTAAAGTCAGTTTATCTTCTCTGAATATTTCGCATTCCTCATCATATTCATTGTCGAATCATGTAGACTATAAACAATTCGCATCGAAACTTATAAATCCAGAAATTTCCCAGAAGGTTTGAATGTTGATCAAAATCAGTTCACCATGTTCGAAGAAGTTCACTGCATGAGATGACAACTCACATTCGAATATTGTTCCAAATCCTTTGCAAACGACTCATTCGCCCTATTACACTCACTCACGGAAATGGACGTTGACTGGCGCAGTTCGGTAATCTGTTGAATGGCATCTCGCCGTGCTTCTTCGGATGCTGGTTCAATTTGATCGATTGTATGTCCACTTTTAGCATGTTCATTCAATGCACATTTGATACATAAAATACACTGAAACTGGAAAAAGTTTACAAAACAGCTAGTAAGAGCACTGGTGAAATGATTTCAAGATCACAGTTCCATATGTGCATATTGAAAACAATTTCTACTCATCTTCTCCGGAAAATTCTCCATTCTCAACTTATACTTACACCATAAACTTCAAAGTAAAGTTATTAAGCAAATCGTAGACAATGTCATTATATCAAATCATATTCTACGAATGGAACAAATTAGATGTTCCAAAGGTTTTTCGACCAAAAATAAAAATGATACAGGCTGAAACAAACCGACGGTGTGTTCGCATTTTGTGAACATGTGACACAAAACATTTGCGCTCCGTAGTNAGGCTGAAACAAACCGACGGTGTGTTCGCATTTTGTGAACATGTGACACAAAACATTTGCGCTCCGTAGTTGACGGCCTTTTGGCAGTGATTACAGTCACGCTTCAGTTCTTGCGTTTTATGAACACGATCGATTAACTCTGCAACGAACGGATGAAGATATCTCAAACTTTGGACCTCGGACAGTTCTTCACAACTCACCACAAAGTGCATAGTTGACTGGTAGTCCCTCGTTTGGAACACCCGTTGAGACGCGACACACTGGACACTGGATATGAATCGGGTAACCGGCCAACTGACGAGTACCACCGAGGCCGAGCACCACTCGGGGAGTTTCATTGCGAAGCTCAATCAGACGATCAACACAATGTGAACACAACGAATGACCGCAATGGAGTTGTCGCGGATTTTCAAAAATCTAAACATGTTTATTGTTCCCTATACGTTGTTGATGAAATGTGCATACGATCACAATATTACACCATAGCAAATCAAAGCAATAGTAAAGCTATTCAGAATGACAACAGCCAAAAAACAAGCAGTAATACTGGCAACTGAGGCGCCCGTTATCAGCAAA